CACAATCTTGGGCAAGGCTGCAAAGTCCACTTTCTTAATTCTAAGGTATCTCCAGTAAAAACCAGATTCTAGCATGCTTCTGACAAGCTCTCCATCTGTTACAGTGGAAGCCACGAGTGACTACACGAGTCACAGAAAACCTCCAGCTGCTTTATCCTACAACTCCACGTTCTCCAAGGCCAGGCAGGCAAGCATAGCCTTTCAGTCTCAGTCATCCATGCAGATAGTGAGACCTGGGACAGGAAAAGGTCCTTGGCTGCTCATAATAATTCTGTGCCCAAGATCAGCTCATCAACCGATCTTCTAATCCATGGCCCATTCCAGCCATGGCCAAATGCTTCAATCATTAATCCAACTATGCATAAGAAAGAGAAAGAAGTTCCAGCACAAGTAAGAAGGAGACCCTTCCTAAAAGCAAATTAAATCCATCAGTGAAAATACCCTGTTGCTTTGTCAGTAGTGCGTGAATACAATTGATGGGATGTGTCTACCCTTTTAATAGCAGCACCAATACATTCTCCAGCAGTGATTAAAATGGGCAATAAATTCTCAAAGACTCTCAGCAGGTTGGGAAGTGGCACCAGCAGCTCTTCTGTCATCACTACCACCACCTCTACCACGGCATCCCCCTCAGCGGTAAATTCATCACCAAACAGCCAGGAAGAGTTTAAGATTTTATGCGCACACAATCCCATTTCCTTCAGCAATGCCCATCTATGCACAAATCAGAGCATCTCTCTTCAAGGTCTGAAGGGTCTGTACGAGAGACATGAAAACTCTGTTCTAACCATCTGTAAGTAATGAACAGCTTTGACTCACAGGAGAAGACCCCAGGGACTCATTAAACTTAGCAAGACATTGCTTCTCTCTTTTCTTCTCACAGAGATATAAGAATGCAACTCCTGACATTTATTTTATATAAACTGAAATTGTGACCCCATAACAACTTTATCCTATCCTCCTTTCCCCAAACCGATGACCTCTGGATTTTGCAGCCAACATCACCCCTGGGTTGACATCTCAATTTATATGGAGATTACAACTGGAAAGCATACAAATATGGAGCACCACTTCCCAAAATAAGAGAGTCCCTCTGATTGGAGAGACGGAGAATAAAAGCATGTCTATTCAAATCTATAACAGCTGGAATGCCTTCTAGTCCAGGTCTTGGTAGACTATGAGCACCAAAGAGGCCAATATGTATTCCTTCTCAGTCACCTCAACAGTTGTCACAAATTAGTAAAAAGGAACTCTGAGCAAGAAAAGTACCAGACCAGGAAACAGCCTATACTCCTGAGTCCAGTCCCCAAAGAGCTACGGAAGAGATTTCTGTAATCTGCCTCCTTCCCTTCCCAGATTCCCTAAACTTCACTGAATTTGTGGCTATTCCTTCATGCCAACATATGACAACCTGGCGTCCTACAGATTACATCTTTTTAATATTGGAAGCTATTAGACGCCCCTCAGCCTTTCCTTAAACATTCTCAGTTTTTTCCACCATGGGCATGCACTGCTTCACACTTTGTCTTTTGTTCTTCAAACTTCTCACCTCTCTGTTTTTCAGGATCTCATTAACTCCATCCAACTATGATTTCTTCAGTGTTCCCTTTCCTCTTGACCCATTCATATATATTCCTTTTCCAATTCAATCCACATCCATTCTCTCTATATGACAAAACCACTCAATGTATTTCTATCTTATCTGTCACTCGCTTTTGTAATTTAATCCACATTCTTTCAGCACCTATTTATTCTTGATCCCACCTCTCCTTGTTTTACCACACATATTTCTTAAGTACCCAATTTCTATTGCATTCAACTTGCTTTTATGTATGTTTTCTCTCATACCCAGCTCTCACTTCCATGTAACAAAGGGAGAAGAAACATACTCCTATCCACAGATATATTTCCCTCTTTCAACATACATTCATTCCTCGCAAAAGACCATATACCACTGCCTTTCTACCAGCATTTGTACTTCTTAACATTTACCCATCCATTTTCTGTCTTTAGGAAACATTTTACCAAGTTACAGTAACATAATTGCTCTAATTTTCCACCATTTATATAGAACTTATAGCTCATTCAATTTTTTTCTGTCAAAGTTTTTGATTTTTGATACATTAATTCTCAAATCTGTACTTTTGATTGCATCATACAATCTATCTAACATTTTTGGTGCCTTCAAGTCTGTGTTGGGTTCTCAACCAACAACATGGCATCATTTACATACAAAAACATATGTACAATAATGTCTTGAAGCAATATACCTTTAATGTCACCACAAGCATTCCTTATACATTTATCCATTAATACACTTAACAACTAATGGGACATCCTTAACTTACTCCCTGTTCAATAGCGAATTATTTGCTAAGCATTCCATCACACAGGCTTTACTTCCATCACATGGAGGTATGACAAGGAAAATGTCTTTTAAGTGGTTATTTTTATTGACTTTACATAAAGATAACGTAAACATATAAATACCATAATCAATCAATTACTCTCTCTCTCTTATTGCATTCAGCAACCAACCTTCCACTTGATACTTACCTAAAGCATTCCATAATTCAAGCTGATGCACTCTATCATATGCCTTCTCTAAATTAAGAAATATATCATAAGCTGTCTTTATCCTTTATATATTTCTTAGTGTGCTACTCAAGAGCAAACTTATGGTCTACACCCTCCCTGGCCAGCATAAAGCCACAATGTTGCTCATTTTTACCTCTTGTATAATTTGGATCAGAATTCTGCCATCCACATTCCCAGGCACAATTAACAAGCTAATCCTCCTGTAGGTTTTCCATCCACTCCTGCTACCATTCTCTTTGTATAGGGGAACAATGACATCAGCATTGCAATCATCAGGCACAGATGCAGTCTTCACACACATATCAAACAAGACATACATAAATAAACCACATCTATATTTTAATGTTTCTCTGGTTATATCACCTATACCTGCAGCCTTATCATTTCTCACAGCATGTATTACTTCCTTTCATCATTTTCTCATTGGGAATTAACAGAGCATATGTTTCCATTCCATTCTTTGGCATGTTATCACCATTCCCAGAGGAATTCTCAAATACTCCTTCACTTCAGTTTCATCCCAAATCTTTTCCTTCAATGCTGTTTAGTCCCCTGGAGGCTCCTCGTTTAGCCATTTTCACCACTCCCAAAACAATTTTTGATTTTTTGATTTCCACTGATTTCCAATCTGCATTTTCTCTGCCTCTTTTATACTTAACTGTTCCTTGCTCTTTGACTACATTCTTTGCAACTATTTTTTTCTCTGTGTACACATTATACAATACAGGTAGTCCTTGTTTAGTTACCACAATTGGGATTGGCAGCTCTGTCGTTAAATGAAACGGTCACTAGGTGGGAGATCACATGACCATAACCATGTTTTCCTTTCCCCCACTTCCCCACCCTTTGGAATGCTCACCCCGGTGCTGGGATAATTAGCAAAAAGGGAATTAACGTTTGTATTTACATTCATTGGAGAGGAAAGGATTACAAGAGAGTAAGCAGGCACACAATGGGGAATTCACTAGCTGTGTAGCACACTTGCAGCTCCCAACCCCGAGGATGCTCGGGGCTGCCAGCACCAGTGCATTGCTTTTGATGTATATTCCCCACTGTGTGCCTGCTTACTCTCTTGTAATCCCTTGCTCTCCAATCTCTCCATTCTGCAAGGGGGGAAAAACCATGGGTAAGGCACAGGACAATGTGTACTGACCATAATGGCAATAACATGACTGAGGGATGTTGCAAATGATCATGTGAAGTCCTCACTTAATGAGAGTAATGGGGGAGACGGCAGAACTGCCATCACTAAGTGCCATAGTCACGTGACATTGTGCTCTTTATGACCACATTGCTTAGCAATGGAAATTCCGGATCCAATTACTGTAGTTAACTGAGGGCTATTTGTATCCTCTAATTTTTCCTCATATTCTCTTTCTGAATACATTCTATTTTCACCCTCATTTCCCTTCTTTCCTTTTCTTCCATGTTTATTTGTCCCTAAATCCATCTTGATATTATATAAAAAAGGTCTATCCCACATTCAGAACATTCATCAGTCTTGTATCCTTCACTAATACTCTCAACATTCCTTTATAAACAATCAAACCAATTATGCTTCTAGATTTATATTCATTCCACTGCCATGTGTATGTATCCACAGGCTTATGCTTAAACCACATATTTGAAACAAATGGATTTTTTAAAAACAGATAGTCACCATTCACCATTCTCATTCACTGTTGGGTCTCTGAATGACCCAATCACTTTTTCTATATCTTTCATCTTCTTCCCCAAACTTGCACTTGATTATTCTGCTATCACCACTAACAGGCGCGTAAGTTGCAACTACCATCAATCTAAGGATTTGAACTCTCATATGTACTCACAGCAATCTGTTCATACTTTCTGATGTACATTTCAATCCTTTCATTCAGAATTAAATATACCTCTTCACTCCACTATGTGTTCATCCAGTCTCCTCCACCAAATCAGGCCATCTTCCTTCAGATTTATTACACCCTTCCTCCTTTTTTCAGTTATGCTGACATACCACATTCCTATTTTTCCTTCTTTCATTTCATTAATTCATGCTCTCTTACATTACAAATCACAATCCTTGGTGTCCCACCTTCTTAGCAGATGAGCTCATAAATACTGACCTCTGCTGCCCTTCATGGCTTTAGTCAATTGAAGCTTTCACGTAACACTTTTCATCTTTATTTGTGCACCTAATTTCTTCTGATAAGAACTTTAAGTTTCATTCCTTTGCTTTCATTTCTACAACCTCTGAAGACTATTTTGAATTGTATTTCTAACCTCTAGGATACTAAAATATTGCCAGAATATTTGGTAAGCACTCTTTTAACTCTTAATTCAAGTAATTAATAAAAACATTTTACTTGTGTTTCAGGGCTAGAAAGGGAGAGAAGCTCACAAAAGATGAATTCCTGAATCCTTACCTTTGATGCTGAAGCTTTCAAGAGTTTCATGACTTCTCCCTCGCGGGCATAATCCAAGGGCGTGTGCCCCATCTCATTTCTCTGCAGGGGGCTGGCACCTGAGAAGGAAGAAATGCAACTCAACATCTGGGAAGGACTCCAAGGACACTCTGCTCATAGCCCCAGAATGTTCTGGGCTCCTTGTTCATCTTGGTTCTGAGCAAGGCTTGAGACAGAAAGGGACTGTGACAACATGCATGGAGACCAGAGGAGACAACGGAAAGAGAATGTCACAGGGAATAATAGAGTTTGGCGGTAGCGGCAGGAGCTGTGTGGAAAGGAGGAAGGAACCAAGCGACCCTTGAAGCCCATTCTTCAAGGCTTACAACCTCCAACACAATGTCAGATGCTGGCTGGAAGTATTTATTATTTGTTTGTTTGTTTGTTTGTTTATTTGAATGTATAAGTAGAAGGGTGAATATGATTTTGTCCCCATCAGGGGCCCCAGAGCGGTGTTCTCGATCTTCTCCACTTCTGCTTAAACTTCTACTCCCTCATGGAATTTCTTGTCTCACATTTTATGTTACACTTCTACAAGGTTGCGTTGCTCTTCCTTTAAATATTCACAGGGTCTCCTCTTCACTTCATTTTCAGAAATTATTTTAAAAAATCATCTTTTTTGTCTGCTTTTCCCTCTCAATGCCTCTATAGCCCTTTGGGTCATTATTCAGTACAACCACTATGTTGATGCAGTGAAACAAAACCTTAATCTATGTATTTTTTCCAGTGGGCTCTGAATGAAAAAAAAAAAGTGAGGATACTGAAAAAAATCTAACAGGGTCACACAGATGGTTTAAGCAGGAACTGTACATCTTTCCATTTGCCAATCAGTGCATTATTAATATCACGGTTAGAGTTCGGATTTCACCTTCTGCTATGTTTCTTCTCTTTTTTACTTATTTTTCACATTTATTATACTCTTTCAAAAACACTTAGAATCCAAGAAAATTAGAAAAATATGTATGATAGATGATCTAGAGCAAGTTCTGAAAGTGTCGCTGGTCACAAAGATACATGCTTCCTTGACCAAACAAGCAAGCCATGTGACTTTTGGCTCCACTGTTTCCCATTTACTTTTCACTAAAAATCCACTGAAAAACATCCTTTGGCAATTGGTCTATACTGGCTTTAAAAATCACTTCGACGGCTGCATTAACTCTAAGACTGCTTACTGTTTCAACACCTTCCCTCTTTTTGTACCTCCTCTCAACTTGTCCAAACAGTGCTTTTTCCATTCTTCCCTTTTCTCTTTCTTTATGATCGAAGTTTATGGGGAGGAGTCTGAGCTTTTTATTTCCATTTATCCCCTAGTAGATATTGGTAGACATAGTAGTTTCTTAGAAAAGAGGAACTGAAGTGCATTTGCGTGCCTGTGTTTTTTATTTCCAGTTATCCCCTAGTAGATACTGGGACTTTATAAAAGGGGGGCTTTCTCAGGAAAGAGCAACTGGAGTGCATTTGTGTGCGTCCTTTGCGCTTCTACCTCTTCCAGGCACAGTCACGTTGCAAGAGCCGAACTCCTCTGTTCCTCTCCGACAGACACACAAGCACGGAAATGGCAGCTTGTCTGACCGGGAGGCGCGCGGTTTCTGCTTCAAGGGCAGGAAGTGTTTGATGGGCTACGTTTACTGCACGCATTCACACCAGGCTGCCCCCACCCAGTAAACATGGCCACACTCTTTATTTCTCTCTCAACCTTGCCTAGGGAGAACGTGCTGTTCCCAGGATGGGGTCTTCTGAGATGTAGAGAGATGGGCTCCTGCTGCCTAGCCGAGGCTTCCTGTTCTCCAGCGTCCCCAGTTCAAAGGCTGGCTACAGAAGCTTCGTCCCCTCCAGGAAGGAGGGGGAGGGCAGCTTTCCCCGTTCATAATCCAAAAGGGTGCAGGGAGTGGCAACAGGTGCCACGGGGATGACATTTTTTTGCAGAAAGATGGTGCTTCCTGGGCACATCCCAACCCTTCTCTGTAAGAGGGCTCTGCTGCTTCCTTCCCTAAAGCGCATGGGACTGTCAGGAGAGACAAGAAAGAATGAGGGGGGGGGAGAGGCCAAAATTAGCTATTTCCAAGATCCTGCATAAAGAGATCTATATTTGCTTATAGAATGAAAAATGCAGTCCATAAACGTCTGTCACAGAGTAATTTCTGTTGTGAGCCCTTGTTGCATCCCATAAAGATGATCGGAACAGGTGAAGTTATATATGGCCTGCCACAGCCGCTCAATATCTTTTAAAGAGACAGTGACCGGCTCGCAGCCCAGCTCTTTTGTTCCATGGAGGAGGAGAAAGTTTTCTGGGGCCCTCCGGCCAGCCATCCTTGAGGCTACCTTTGCCTTGTCTTGGAAGATCTGGATTTCCTGCCGTCAATCTATTAATAATGGCTAACCAATATAGGTCTAATCCCCCTGTTAATGGCTTTGACGACTTGACTAATTGCTGCAATAATTGATAGAACCAGACTCATGCTACCGGTCGATCTTTACCTCCGATACCGACGGCAATAAAATATTATGCTTTCATAAATAACTTGGTGTCAGGCCACTTGCTAACCCAGTGCAGAGGGGGCTGCTGGCTTCCCGAAGAGGCCTGGCCTGACCCCAGCCCTCCTGTAGCAGGGGGGAGCTGCCCCCCAGCAGCAAGTGCTCTCCTGGATTTGGCCGGGCCTCGGCTGGCCACGGCGCGCCTGCTGAGAGGGCGCCAACCTTTAGGAATCTTGATGGGATGCAATTTGTCACCTCCCACTGGCTGTCTCTGGCAGAGAATCAACACCTGGGCAACACCCGGGGCTCTGCGGGGCACCCGCCCACCCCTCCCAAATCTTGGCTCATATTAGTGGGCCCTGACTTATAATATTTGATAAATAGCAGGCTGGCTCACCCCCAGCATCACTGCAGCAACACACAGCCAGAGCAGCTGCATAAGGTCACTCATTGGGGAAATATGTTTCCGTCAGAGGTATTGAAAAAAGTTTAGCAGAGTGACAGGTCTCAATTTTTCAAATTTTATTAACTCCATCCTCTTAATCATTTGTCTTGAATTCCTCCAGATTCCAGATAACTGTCAATATAGGGGCTCAGGGAAGGCATTATGGATGGAGAGGACCTGCTGGGAGACTTGAGTTAGTTAATAACTCCAGGGCAAGGGGTGAGGGTACAGGAGCCCCGTGTGCAGGAGACCAAGCAGCCCACCTGAGGGTGAGGTGGGGCTCTGCTCTGGCACTTGTCTGTCAACCCGCCGAGCAAACCAACCTCTGTGTGTGTGTCTGTGTGTGTGTTGCGGGGACACAGAAATTTCACTCGGTGTAAAAAAACATCTAATCCAGCACCTCAAGAACAGCCATTCAGGTTAAGAGAAATAGAAGCCCAGAGGAAAGCAGAGATGTAGGTTGGAAAAAATTCTAGGGTCAATATTTTCCACAGAACATTTTCCACTTTAGGCACATTTTACTGCCTATAGCCCAGCACTGTTTCCAACATTCCAGTAAAATATTTTTCCCTCCAAAATCTTTAGTTTCTTTGAATATATAGCTCAAACCTCATAAAATACGGTAGATTTTATTTTTTTTAACAATCAATAAAGTAGCCCAAATACTTATACAGACTATGGATACTGAGATGAATATGCTAATTAGAATCATATTTATGGAAAAGGTCCCAATTCAAAATTTCTGGAAAACCCACATCTCCAAGAGCAGCTCTCAAAAAAAACACAGGGACATCTCACAAATGACTGAGCTGGGAACCAGGATGTTGTGCCCTGAACTCCTGGGATTTGGGCAAATCACTTGCCCATCAGGTTAGCTCCCCTGCTCACCCACCTGCAGGATGCAGGTAGTAGTAATAATGATCCACAGCAGCACTTTGCTGAACTCAGCGGACAGAATGGAGCGTCTTTTGCAAACTGTACAGTGTGTGCAGCAGTAAGTTGAGACAAGCGTAGAGTTCTGATGGGTGACCAGTCCCTCTCTAGCCTGAGGTTGGGAACAGATGCCCTGCTGAACTTTCCAATTCCATGATCCTAAAAGGAACCACACATCCCTCCACGTTCAAGAAAGAAATGCCTACAGGAATGAAATACCTAAGGCAACAGTTGCATTCACCAGATCAAAAGGACCACAACCTTGTTCTCCTTGCAGCAGCAATTCACAAGTGTGTGTGTATGTGCACCCATGTTCACACATGCACCTGGGAGAGGTGAACCGCCACCAACAAGATGTGTTTCCAGCACCAAAGCAGTCCAGAGTTTGCCAGGAGGAAGCAGCGCTTGTAGCTATACAGGAGATGACGCCGTGTCATCAGCCATCATCTCTGACAAGTCTCGACATCCTTATTGCTCTACATGGCTAGTTAAAGTAATAGAAAGAGACTCCTGTCCTCCAGAGTCTCACTGTGATTGAATTAACATGATCACCCTTTTTCCAGTAAAATAAACGCACTTCCAATATGGGGCGGCACAAATACTTCACAGGTAGCTTTGGAAAACAGAGAAAGAGAGAGAGAGAGGGAGAGTGCTAGCCCACGAGCAATGCTGCTCTCCTTGCCAACGGCGGATGGTTTTAATCACTTCTGCGCACACAACAGGCTGCCTCCTTCAATTGAGATGATGGGCATAAACTCCTAGGCTATTCACACACGTCTGTTCTCAAAAGGGGCGACGTCTCAAGGACCCCAAAACGGGCCACAAAAGATCAGACTTTCATTCTCCTCTCTTCAACTATTGTGCTAACCCTCTGGACGTTTTAAAGCCAGGTCAAAACGTCGCAAGCCTTGGACAGCTTTTCCGTAATTATACTGATTTCTATCGCACCACACACGCGTTATTTTATAGTATCACAAGCACCATGGAAGGAAGGTCAGCATTCATTGCCAGGAGCTTGACAAGGAGCAGACAACAGACTACATGCAATTCCTAGATTATATACCATGGGAGAGAGATTGGTTTTCACAAACCAACCACGGTTTTACAGCTTCCTCCACCACATGGTTATAACTGGCTGAGGCCAAAACATGGTCGGCGTTTCCTTTCTTTCAGCAGCTTCTGAATGGCTAGGCGGTCAGGCAGGGG